ATGTGTACGTAAACACTTAAATTGTGTTGTTACGTAATCTGAATTTTCTAGAACACCTTCCCACAGCTCTAAATATAACCAACGCGATGCGCCAAAGAGAGAGTATCTATGATTAGTTCGCTATAATCAGTGTGCTATAAAACTCCGGAAGCTATAACTGTGATTGTTATGTCGTTTACCAATCGGAAAACTTCAGATATTTAACCAGGAGCATTTACGAAGTTCGAACATTACAAACCATTTAACTCCAGTGGATTCACATCGGACATTAGTATTTTTACGGAAACATTACATAACGTAAACGGTGGAAAACTCGGTGTGTGTGGCAAAGGACAAAGCTAGCTAGCTTCCAGGCGAATCGTACCCATATCAACTCGTAATTAACTCGTTCATCGTGAACCTTCAATAAGATATCAAGGAAGTACCAAACTAGAAAGAAGACTTTATATTGCTTGTAAGTTTGTGAAACTTTTGTTTATAAATCATTGTTTGTAATAAAGATTTGTAATAACTGTTATTGTGAATTATATTGTTATGTATATATATTAAAACGTATTTGTGTTAAAAAAGAAAGCTGTGTGTATCAGTCTTGTTGGCAAATATCATAAACTGACTATATATCGGCTTTTACTTAACTACTAAATCCAAAGTACAATTTAATTACTAAATTTAAAATTATCAATTAACTCGATTTCAGGTCATTTGGAATTCTAATACGTAACAATCATTATAGTCAAACAACAGCGGTAATCAAAACAGTTAAAGTGTGACTACCAACCACCAGTGACTAATAATGAGAAAAGGTCACTAGACAAGTTTGCGAAGAGAAACGGGCGTGACACTGTTTTAATAAAACATCGTTATTCAATTTGGCACTAAATTAAGAAATGGTATAAATACAGTAATTAAGTTGTTTTAGGTACGCATATATATATTTATTTATTATGGTTGTAAGCCTCATATGTAAAAGACAGAGTGAGTAAAAACAAAACAGATGTGGGTGCTCAAACAAACACAGTCTAACACCTAAAATCAATTATGGATTAGTAGTTGCTCTTAATGAAACAAAATGATTAAAACGAGTTAAC